TGAAATGATAAGAGGGTTTAACCTTCTGTCGAATACTCAAAGAAGTCACAGACTGACGCTGTTGAAACATGACATGGCTCTTGACTATATTTTAGCAAAACAAGGTGGCTTATGTTTGGCTATGAATTTGACGGGGGATGATTGTTATACTTTGATCCCAGATAGTTCCAATAATATCACTAGTGTTATAGATGCATTGAAAAATATAAGGGATGCGTTTGGTAGATCTGAAGGAGCTGGATGGTCAGCGAAGGCTTGGTTGCAAGATCAGTTAGGCCCAGTGGGAGCAGTGATAGTTCAGATTTTAGTAGCAGCTCTGATAGCGCTGTGTGTGATGTTTTGCTTTTGTACTTTGTTACTGACCTTTGCGAAGGCGATGATATTGAGATGGGTTGGAGTTGTGATGCCTGGAGAAAACACTCAGATGCCGTTGTTAACTGTTACTGATCTAGATGAAGATGAACAAGTGGGACTGGATGGAGTATTGATGGATAAATATCCATTTTGATTATCCAATCATTTTTTAAATGTTTTTAAATGTTAGTGTGATTTTAGTATTTTGTTATGAATCAAAGGGGGGAAATGGTATGTGATTCATTTTATATATCATTTTTAGTTGATATTGATGTTTTAATTTGAATGTGTTGTTTTGCAAAATATACTGTTTGGTCTTTTCTTTTCTTCCAGAAGCATATGGGGGAATGTGTAGAGGGGATTCAAATACTCAAACATGGACAATATGAAAGGAGAATATGAATGGACTGGAGGAAGTGGAACAAGGAAGGTGTGGAAACGTTCAGATTCCATCATCGACGTTGCATTGGAAGTCGACACTGCTGAGGAGATGAAGTGTAGTGGATACATAATTTGTGTCATATTCTTTCTGTATTAATTTTTTGTAGAATGATATTTGCTGTTATTGGGTACATGTGGGGATCTCAGATGTTTTTGTTTATTTCGTGGATGCTTAGGGATATTGGGTCTAGGCAGGGATAGAGAGAATCCACAGGAGGGTCCGATGGGTCGACCAGCCTGAATGTGGACATTTTGGATTGTATTTTGTTTGCTGAGGCTTTCATGTGTATTCAAATTGCATCATAGTTTCAAATGCATTGATAAAGATTTATGAATTGATCTGGAGTACTTAGGTGGTTGCCTGGGGCAGAGGGGCCGTGAGAGAATTTTACTGTCTTGATTGATTGATGGATATTTGGAAAGAAGGCTGCCAGACAGGTTTTTCGCTCTCACACTCCATAGAGATTTGTTCATATTTCATAGAAATTTATTTACACTCCATAGAAAAATGAGTTTTTGGTTTATTGTTAAAAGTTACTAAATAAGAGAGAAATTGTTATTTGTCATAATCCTATTCTTTTTATTTTCGAGACTTAATTTGTCTCGAAGGGGAGAATATGTAGTATCTGAGGAATTATGACTTTGCTAACGTTTTCAAATGGTATCTGAGAGGATGTTTATTCAGCTTAGAGGGAGCATCTAGAACAGAGGAAGTCTGTTGTGTGGAGACAGGTGATTGGTCTGTATGGAAAACCACCCATATCATGGTAAAGATTATAAATACTTGGTTGAGACAAAGGAGATCAGAACAACTTATTCTTTTGGTTCGCTGGTCTCCAGATGTCTGCAGATATCTGTAAATTGAAGCTGTAACCCTTTGATATAAATAAACCTTTATGATCAAAGTACAGCGTCAGCGGATTTCCTTGGTCTCACAGCATAATTAGCAACGTTTTCTCGACACAACACCAGCTACTGAATCTGACGGGTAAATGCTGCCAGTAAATGGCAACCATAGGTGTGAACAATGGCGGCAGCAAAAGGTACAGCACTGTATGGGATTGTTTTGAGTATGTTGCTGCAAAGGACAAAAGCAAATGTATTTAAAGTGTCAGAAGATGGCAGCGTGTGTGGAACAGAGATAAAAAGGAAAACCCAACCAACCTCAAAGTTCATCTGAACAGCGCCCACAAAGAATCATACAAACAATTTCAGGATAAATACAAGGTGAGATAGCCACCAGCTAGCTATTAGTAACTGCACGTCAACGGCAACCAGTAGCTGCACGTCAGGACAACCAACTTTAGCAGTTTGCATGAAAAGAGAAGAAACATGGCAACCTAATTCAAATGAGAAAAGAGAAGAAGCATTGGTTAATTTATTCATCCAGTCTGGCAAGTCCACGATGAGCCAGCCTTCAGAAAATTCAACCAAACACGATACCAAATGTAAAACTCCTGGTGCTGTTAGCGCAAACGGGTCGATTGCTTTGCAAAACTATACAGCAACCCAGAAAGTTAAGAATCTGAAAGAGGCATGACAAATAACCCTGTGTGTAGACGGATGGAGCAAGAAAGGACTGACTGCTTCCTTTATGGGCATATCAACCTGCTTCTTTTACCCCTCCTCCAAACAAGGACATTGAGCAAGTTGAGGAGACTAAACTGCTTGGTGTAACCCTGGATTGTAAACTGCCATGGTCAAAACATATTGATGCAATGGTAGCTAAGATGGGCAGAGGTCTGTCCGTAATAAAGTGCTGCTCTGCTTACTTGACAAGGCTATCAACAAAACAAGTCATACTGGCTCTAGTTTTGTCACACCTGAACTGCTGCCCAGTCATATGGTCAAGTGCCACAAAGAGGCAAATTACAGTTGGCCCAGAACAGAGCGGCTGGCCCTTAAATGTACACGGAGAGCTCACATTAATAATATGCATGTCAATCTCTCTTGGCTCAAAGAAGAGGAGAGATTGACTTCATCACAACTTGTATTTGTGAGAAGTATTGACATGTTGAATGCACCAAGCTGTCTGTTTAAACGACTAGCACAAAGTTCATAGACCCATGCATACCCCACAAGACATGCCACCAGAGGTCTCTTCACAGTCCCCAAGTCCAGAACAGACTATGGGAAACACACAGTACTACACAGAGCCATGAATACATGGAACTCTATTCCACATCAAGTAACTCATACAAGCAGTAAAATCAGCTAAAACCCCCCAGTTAAAACTACACCTTATGGAACAGGGCGGGCTGTGAAGAGACACACACACAGGCACAGACACACGCATAAACACACACACTCTACACACACGAACATATGGATTTTGTATTGTAGATATGTTGTACTAGAGTAGTGTGTAATAATGTGTTGTGAAATGTAATGTTTTAATGTATGTAATTGCCTTAATGTTGCTGGACACCAGGAAGAGTAGCTGCTACCTTGGAATAATAAAATACAAAATACAAATACAAAAACAAGGCATAGCATGCATTGCTCAACCTCCATCCGATTTAGCATCCACACACCGAAGAGGTAATTGACCCCACATTGAACGCATGGGACATACCAGCGGAGAAGATCCTACTATTCGTAACTGACAACTGGGCGAACATAGTTAAGGCTATTATAGAATAGACAAGGGAATACCCATGATCAACAACAACCAGAGCTGGCCATAGCTTTGAACGGTGCGACAGAAATGTCTGAATCTGAGTCGGACACCGACAATTATTATTTTAAGGCTAGGCACCACACCCTCATATTTGTTCCCTTAATCATATCACAATCAACTTTTACCAGTTGGATGTAGACACAAATATCATACTTTTTTGTATTACAATGTTTCTGAAATATCTTATAAAAATATGCAAATGAGACAATAGCTCATGAAATATGTGCATATTGGCATATCGCGCAAATCCATTTTTTCTAGACACTAGATGAAGTTAGCCTATATTTTGGTTTAATTTTGTTAAGACACTCCAGGATCGGAGTTGTCCAGAGGAGATTGTGGATAAATTCTTTTTTTCATCTTTCTATCTGGAAAATACTAAAAACATGCACGTAAAATGCATTTTTTTGTGCATTTCCCCCCCCAAATATTATCTACAATAAAAAATGTACAACATATCAACAAATCCTTCTGGGCAAATCTGGAGAATGTCTCTAAGGATAACCAAACAAAGTGTGGTATGTAGTATGATAAACTAAATAACATTTACATGATACTTCAGGAGACAGCAGAGGGAGCACACCCCCATCCACATCGACAGGACCGCAGTGGAGAAGGCGAAAAGCTTCAATTTCCTCGGCATACACATCACTGACAATCTGAAATGGTCCACACACACAGACAGAGTGGTGAAGAAGGCGCAACAGCGCCTCTTCAATGTCAGGAGGCTGAAGACATTCGGCTTGGCCCAGAAGACCCTGACACATTTTTACAGATGCACAATTGAGGTTTTCCTGTCGGCCTGTATCACCGCCTGGTACGGCAACTGCACCGCCCCCGCCTCACCGGGGGCACACTGCCTGCCCTCCAGGACACCTACAGCACCTGATATCACATGAAGGCCAAAAAGATCATCAAGGACATCAACCACCTGAGCCACGGCCTGTTCACCCCGCTATCATCCAGAAGGCGAGGTCAGTACAGGTGCATCAAAGCTGGGACCGAGAGACTGAAAAACATCTATCTCAAGGCCATCAGACTGTTAAATAGCCTTCACTAGCCAGCTACCACCCAGTTACTCAACCCTGCACCTTAGAGCCTGCTGCCCTATGTACATAGACATTGAATCACTGGTCACTTTAATAATGGAAAACTAGTCACTTTAATAATGTTTACATACTGTTTTACTCATTTCATATGTATATACTGTATTCTAGTGTATTTTAGTCAATGCCACTCCGACTTTGCTCGTCCTAATATTTATATATTTCTTAAATCCATTCTTTTACTTTTAGATTTGTGTGTATTGTTGTGAATTGTTAGATACTACTGCATTGTTGGAGCTAGGAACACAAGCATTTAGCTACACCCGCAACAACATCTGCTAAATATGTGTATGTGCCCAATAACATTTGACTTGACTTGATTTGATGTCAAGAATTTTATAGGAATTTATATTTTAATTGGCCCCAACCATGGATGCAAAACTATTCCAAATAACATTATCATGAACATGGCATTTGAACTTTGTTCAACAGGACACTAGTTCCATGGAACACCAATACTAGTTATCCATTTATTTTTTGGGATAAACCTTTATAGCTCACACGATAGGTAAACATTCCAAAGAACATTGCCATGAAAAGTCATTCATATCTGGAATTTGAACATACCTCAAATCAGCTCTATGGAACACCATTACCAGTTAACAATTGTTTGAAATTGCTAACTATTTATTTGTAGCTAACAATATAAAAGTGCTCCTCTTTCTTCAGATGAACAGAACCTGCAGAACTTACCAGTGATTCACATTAACAGGTAAGTCTTCAATTCATGTACATTACATCATAAACTGTTTACTCTCCTGTTATGCTCTTTTCCAGAGAATTCTGGATGTTTCTAGCATTATTTTCCTCGGTTATAGTACCTTGTTTTTAGGAGACCATCATCACCATTGCAATGTTGACCATATCTCTGCTGCTGTGTGCTGCCCTTGCTCTGAGTCAAGCAACAGGTAAGACGCACAGCAAACCAAGAATATACACCTTAGTTCACACTTAACAACATTCTTTACATAACACTCCTTTCCTGTCGATCCCTGTAACTCCAGCTAACTGGAGTTTTTGTTGTCCAGGTGCTGAGCTCTACCGTCATTCTTTTTTGTGTACCAGTTCTTGTTTCAGAGCAAACATGAGAAAAACGTTTTCACTCTACTGAGTCGAGGTGGACTGCACTGGGTTGTTTGTGAACAACATTGCTATGACTGGTCCATTTGAATTCCTTTCTGTCTGTCCTTCTTCCAGGAGCTAAGGGGGCAGAGGAGGGCGTAGTGGCAACGGCAGCAGAGAACAGGAACCAATGCCCCACAGGCTGGTTCCAATATGAATCGCGCTGCTTCATGTTCGTTGAGACTGCAAGGACATGGCCCCTAGCAGAGGTATCATGGTTACTCTCTACTGTGAATTAAAGGGAAAGTTCAATCGAAATCAACTCGCTTATTTGGTTTGAGGTTACCCTTAAAGGTGATTTGCCATTGCGTCCTGGAAAATACTGAACCTCCCCTTTAAGTTATTGTTTCATTGGAATTTTCTTTAAGCGTCGAATATTTATTGATATATTTATATTACCTGAGGCCTACTGTATATTGGAACCCACAGGACATTGGTTAAGACAGAGATCTAACATCTGTAAGAGCATATGTAAAGAGCATTAATTGCGATGGACAATATTTGATTGTGAGAGTCCAGAAGATAAGTTATCACAGACTGGACTACTGACTGATACTTACATTATGAAATGTCTTTGTCCCTGTCTACCTCTCACTGTAGCGCCACTGTGTGTCCCTTGGAGCAAACCTGGCGTCTGTGCACAGCTCTGCGGAGTATCAATTTCTACAGGTAGTGGTGGGGTGCAAGGCTGGCGGTTTCTCTCCTACCTGGATTGGAGGATATGATGCTGTTCAGGTGGAGTATACTCACAGATCAGTAGTATCTTGGTATACTCATCAATATCTCAAGGGTCACTGGTAAAGTCAGATCTAGGTTTTTTAGTATCCACTGGCATACTATAATAATAATAATAATAATAGTAATATGGGATTGCTTTGATACTGAGACCTCACTTCTTCACCACAGGACAGGCTATGGTTTTGGAGTGACGGCTCCAAATTTGATTACCAGAACTGGAAGAAAGGAGAGCCCAATAATAGCGGTGGCAGAGAGCCATGTATGGTGATGAACTGGGGAGGTACAGTAGGCTCACTATCATTCACTGATACATTCATCAAATTAAACTTTATTCATAGTACATTTAACAAATAAAACTGGCACACACACCACACACCGCAAACACACTATTATATTGTTGTGTGAACATCTGAGATTATTTGAGAGGTCATTTCTGTTCTGTGTTTCCTTTTAAGATGAATACCGCTGGAACGATATAAACTGTGGAAACAGCTTTCCCTCTGTGTGCTCCAAAAGAATCTGTGAAATAGAGAAAAACTGAAACCATAAATGCTACTCGATAGTGTCAGCATCCAACTGAACACTTTTTATGGTAAAGTCAAATATTTAGTAAAGATTATTTGTTGCTGTAAACTGTAAGTTTGTGTTAGTTGTTGTTCATAAATGTTGAGTAATGGTTTTGTTGTTTATTGTCAATAAAACGGTTGTACACATTATTAGTTTTCTCTTATGAGTCATTATTAAACATGAATGCCATAATTGTAAGATGATTCTTAAAGGTACAGTCTAGGATCTCAGAGTTTGTTCAATGGTCATTTAAATTCTTTACATTTATCCATTGATTCAAGGTTATTATAGTAAACAAAAACTGAAACAAAAATAACAAGGCAGAGCATTCATTGCTCAACCTTCATTGGATTTAGCATCCACACACCGGAGAGGTAATTGACTGCACATTGAACGCATGGGACATACCAGAGGAGAAGATTCTACTCTTTGTAACTGACAACGGGGCGAACATAGTCAAGGCTATTACACAATAGACAAGAGATACCCGTGATCAACAACAACCAGAGCTGGCCATAGCTTTGAACGGTGCGGCATGTAGTGAGCTTTAAAATGATTCATGTACAGTGGGGAAAATAAGTATTTAGTCAGCCACCAATTGTGCAAGTTCTCCCACTTAAAAAGATGAGAGAGGCCTGTAATTTTCATCATAGGTACACGTCAACTATGACAGACAAAATGAGAAAAAAATCCTGAAAATCACATTGTAGGATTTTTAATGAATTTATTTGCAAATTATGGTGGAAAATAAGTATTTGGTCAATAACAAAAGTTTCTCAATACTTTGTTATATACCCTTTGTTGGCAATGACACAGGTTTCTGTAAGTCTTCACAAGGTTTTCACACACTGTTGCTGGTATTTTGGCCCATTCCTCCATGCAGATCTCCTCTAGAGCAGTGATGTTTTGGGGCTGTCGCTGGGCAACACAGACTTTCAACTCCCTCCAAAGATTTTCTATGGGGTTGAGATCTGGAGACTGGCTAGGCCACTCCAGGACCTTGAAATGCTTCTTACGAAGCCACTCCTTCGTTGCCCGGGCGGTGTGTTTGGGATCATTGTCATGCTGAAAGACCCAGCCACCTTTCATCTTCAATGCCCTTGCTGATGGAAGGAGGTTTTCACTCAAAATCTCACGATACATGGCACCATTCATTCTTTCCTTTACACGGATCAGTCGTCCTGGTCCCTTTGCAGAAAAAAAGCCCCAAAGCATGATGTTTCCACCCCCATGCTTCACAGTAGGTATGGTGTTATTTGGATGCAACTCAGCATTCTTTGTCCTCCAAACACGACGAGTTGAGTTTTTATCAAAAAGTTATATTTTGGTTTCATCTGACCATATGACATGCTCCCAATCCTCTTCTGGTTCATCCAAAGGCACTCTAGCAAACTTCAGACGGGCCTGGACATGTACTGGCTTAAGCAGGGGGACACGTCTGGCACTGCAGGATTTGAGTCCCTGGCGGCGTAGTGTGTTACTGATGGTAGGCTTTGTTACTTTGGTCCCAGCTCTCTGCAGGTCATTCACTAGGTCCCCCCGTGTGGTTCTGGGATTTTTGCTCACCGTTCTTGTGATCATTTTGACCCCACGGGGTGAGATTTTACGTGGAGCCCCAGATCGACGGAGATTATCAGTGGTCTTGTATGTCTTCCTTTTCCTAATAATTGCTCCCAAAGTTGATTTCTTCAAACCAAGCTGCTTACCTATTGCAGATTCAGTCTTCCCAGCCTGGTGCAGGTCTACAATTTTGTTTCTGGTGTCCTTTGACAGCTCTTTGGTCTTGGCCATAGTGGAGTTTGGAGTGTGACTGTTTGAGGTTGTGGACAGGTGTCTTTTATACTGATAACAAGTTCAAACAGGTGCCATTAATACAGGTAACGAGTGGAGGACAGAGGAGCCTCTTAAAGAAGAAGTTACAGGTCTGTGAGAGCCAGAAATCTTGCTTGTTTGTAGGTGACCATTAAATAATTAAGCCAATTTGTGTATTGCTGATTCATCAATATGGTTAGGGTTCTTGCAGGTTCAAGGATTATGCGACGTTCAGAATGAGACTGATGAGGTAATGATTGAATAAGTGACTGTTATTGATATATAACATATATATATCTTCTACGAGTTTAATTTGGGAGATGGTAACTCGTTAATTGTTACATGAGTAATTTAATCGAGTGACAATTAAACATAGTTAGTTGATTCTATACATAACAGTCATCACATTAATGCAAGTCACATTACGACAATAGTTTGTAGTAGAGTAGTTTGTAATAATGTGTTGTGAAATGTAATGTTTTAATATATGTAATTGCCTTAATGTTGCTGGACACCAGGAAGAGTAGCTGCTGCCTTGGTATAATAAAATACAAAATACAAAAACAAGGCATAGCATGCATTGCTCAACCTCCATCCGATTTAGCATCCACTTTGAACGCATGGGACATACCATTGGAGAATATCCTACTCTTCGTAACTCACAATGGGGCGAACATAGTAAAGGCTATTGTAGAATACACAAGAGAATAACCGTGATCAACAACAACCAGAGCTGGCCATAGCTTTGAACGGTGCGGCAGAAATGTCTGAATCTGAGTCAGACACCGACGATTATTCTTTTAAGGCTAGGCACCACACCCTCATATTTTTTCCCTTAATCATATAACAATCAACTTTTACCAGTTGGATGTAGACACAAATATCATACTTTTTTTGTATTACAATGTTTCTGAAATGTTTAAAAAATATATGCAAATGAGACAATACCTCATTAAATATGTGCATATTGGCATATCGCGCAAATCCATTTTTCTGGACACTGGATGAAGTCAGCCTATATTTTGGTTTAATTTTGTTAAGACACTCCAGGACCGGACTTGTCCAGAGGAGATTGTGGATAAATACTTTTTTTTCTATCTGGAAAATACTAAAAACATGCACGTAAAATGCATTTATTGTGCATTTTCCCCCCCAAAAATTATCTAGAATAAAAAATTGACAACATATCAACAAATCCTTCTGGGCAAATCTGGAGAATGTCTCTAAGGATAACCAAACAAAGTGTGGTATGTAGTATGATAAACTAAATAACATTTACATGATACTTCAGGAGACAGCAGAGGGAGCACACCCCCATCCACATCGACAGGACCGCAGTGGAGAAGGCGAAAAGCTTCAATTTCCTCGGCATACACATCACTGACAATCTGAAATGGTCCACCCACACAGACAGAGTCGTGAAGAAGGTGCAACAGCGCCTCTTCAACGTCAGGAGGCTGAAGAAATTTGGCTTGGCCCATAAGACCCTGACAAACTTTTACAGATGCACAATTGAGGTTTTCCTGTCGGCCTTTATCACCGCCTGGTACGGCAACTGCACCGCCCCCACCTCACCGGGGGCACACTGCCTGCCCTCCATGACACCTACAGCACCCGATGTCACAGGAAGGCCAAAAAGATCATCAAGGACATCAACCACCTGAGCCATGGCCTGTTAACCCCGCTATCATCCAGAAGGCGAGGTCAGTACAGGTGCATCAAAGCTGGGACCGAGACACTGAAAAACAGCTTCTATCTCAAGGCCATCACTGTTAAATAGCCATCACTAGCCAGCTACCACCCGGTTACTCAACCCTGCACCTTAGAGGCTGCTGCCCTATGTACATAGACATAGAATCACTGGTCACTTTAATAATGGAACACTAGTAATAATGTTTACATACTGTTTTACTCATTTCATATGTATATACTGTATTCTACTGTATTTTAGTCAATGCCACTCCGATATTGCTCGTCCTAATGTTCATATATTTCTTATTATTTTACATTTAGATTTGTGTGTATTGTTGTGAATTGTTAGATACTACTGCACTGTTGGAGCTAGGAACACAAGCATTTAGCTACACCCGCAACAACATCTGCTAAATATGTGTATGTGCCCAATAACATTTGTCTTGACTTGATTTGATGTCAAGAACTTTATAGGAATTTATATTTTAATTGGCCCCAACCATGGATGCAAAACTATTCCAAATAACATTATCATGAACATGGCATTTGAACTTTGTTCAACAGGACACTAGTTCCATGGAACACCAATACTAGTTATCCATTTATTTTTTGGGATAAACCTTTATAGCTCACACGATAGGTAAACATTCCAAAGAACATTGCCATGAAAAGTCATTCATATCTGGAATTTGAACATACCTCAAATCAGCTCTATGGAACACCATTACCAGTTAACAATTGTTTGAAATTGCTAACTATTTATTTGTAGCTAACAATATAAAAGTGCTCCTCTTTCTTCAGATGAACAGAACCTGCAGAACTTACCAGTGATTCACATTAACAGGTAAGTCTTCAATTCATGTACATTACATCATAAACTGTTTACTCTCCTGTTATGCTCTTTTCCAGAGAATTCTGGATGTTTCTAGCATTATTTTCCTCGGTTATAGTACCTTGTTTTTAGGAGACCATCATCACCATTGCAATGTTGACCATATCTCTGCTGCTGTGTGCTGCCCTTGCTCTGAGTCAAGCAACAGGTAAGACGCACAGCAAACCAAGAATATACACCTTAGTTCACACTTAACAACATTCTTTACATAACACTCCTTTCCTGTCGATCCCTGTAACTCCAGCTAACTGGAGTTTTTGTTGTCCAGGTGCTGAGCTCTACCGTCATTATTTTTTGTGTACCAGTTCTTGTTTCAGAGCAAACATGAGAAAAACGTTTTCACTCTACTGAGTCGAGGCGGACTGCACTGGGTTGTTTGTGAACAACATTGCTATGACTGGTCCATTTGAATTCCTTTCTGTCTGTCCTTCTTCCAGGAGCTAAGGGGGCAGAGGAGGGCGTAGTGGCAACGGCAGCAGAGAACAGGAACCAATGCCCCACAGGCTGGTTCCAATATGAATCGCGCTGCTTCATGTTCATTGAGACTGCAAGGACATGGCCCCTAGCAGAGGTATCATGGTTACTCTCTACTGTGAATTAAAGGGAAAGTTCAATCGAAATCAACTCGCTTATTTGGTTTGAGGTTACCCTTAAAGGTGATTTGCCATTGCGTCCTGGAAAATACTGAACCTCCCCTTTAAGTTATTGTTTCATTGGAATTTTCTTTAAGCGTCGAATATTTATTGATATATTTATATTACCTGAGGCCTACTGTATATTGGAACCCACAGGACATTGGTTAAGACAGAGATCTAACATCTGTAAGAGCATATGTAAAGAGCATTAATTGCGATGGACAATATTTGATTGTGAGAGTCCAGAAGATAAGTTATCCCAGACTGGACTACTGACTGATACTTACATTATGAAATGTCTTTGTCCCTGTCTACCTCTCACTGTAGCGCCACTGTGTGTCCCTTGGAGCAAACCTGGCGTCTGTGCACAGCTCTGCGGAGTATCAATTTCTACAGGTAGTGGTGGGGTGCAAGGCTGGCGGTTTCTCTCCTACCTGGATTGGAGGATATGATGCTGTTCAGGTGGAGTATACTCACAGATCAGTAGTATCTTGGTATACTCATCAATATCTCAAGGGTCACTGGTAAAGTCAGATCTAGGTTTTTTAGTATCCACTGGCATACTATAATAATAATAATAATAATAGTAATATGGGATTGCTTTGATACTGAGACCTCACTTCTTCACCACAGGACAGGCTATGGTTTTGGAGTGACGGCTCCAAATTTGATTACCAGAACTGGAAGAAAGGAGAGCCCAATAATAGCGGTGGCAGAGAGCCATGTATGGTGATGAACTGGGGAGGTACAGTAGGCTCACTATCATTCACTGATACATTCATCAAATTAAACTTTATTCATAGTACATTTAACAAATAAAACTGGCACACACACCACACACCGCAAACACACTATTATATTGTTGTGTGAACATCTGAGATTATTTGAGAGGTCATTTCTGTTCTGTGTTTCCTTTTAAGATGAATACCGCTGGAACGATATAAGCTGTGGAAACAGCTTTCCCTCTGTGTGCTCCAAAAGTTTTTGTTGTTCAGGTGCTGAGCTCTACCGTCATAATTTTTTGTGTACCGGTTCTTGTTTCAGAGCCTTTGCTGGAGACAAACATTGCGCAAGCTGGAGAAAAACACTGAGCAATAACATTTGACTTGACTTGATGCATAATTAGCTGCACTTGTTTTGAATTTGGCCAGTATGATAGTAACTTTTTCACACTACTGGGTCGAGTCGGACTGCACTGGGCTGTCCTGGTTACAAATCCACCATAGTTGCTGGAACTGTGCTGGGAAAGGCAATGTGAAAAGAAGATATCCAAGCCAGCACATTACGGTTTGGGTCGGCAAAGTGAATAGAACAGTCCCATGAACATTGCAAAGGCAGCTTTGATTTCATGTGTTTTCTTGTCTTTAACTACATACTCTATATAGCCCCATGAGAAGACAATGGATTTTGAGCAGGCTTTGCATCTGGGTAATTGTATGAAACTAATGTCAGTAGATTAATCTGCAGTACTACTAGGTAGACAACTCTCACAGGCTGATGCCTCCACTAATCAGAATAAGAATTGTGTGCAGGGGCGGTTGTTTGTGAACAACATTGCTATGACTGGGCCATTTGAATTCCTGCCTGTCTGTCCTTCTTCCAGGAGCTAAGGTGGCAGAGGAGGCCGTAGCGGCAGCAGAGAACAGGAACCAATGCCCCACAGGCTGGTTCCAATTTGGATCGCGCTGCTTCATGTTCGTCGAGACTGCAAGGACATGGCCCCTAGCAGAGGTATCATGGTTACTCTCTACTGTGAATTAAAGGGAAAGTTCATTTGAAATCAACTCGCTTATTTGGTTTGAGGTTACCCTTTGTTATGATGAGTTTCTAGGGTATCAAGTAATTAATGATGCAAGAAGATATTTAACACTTAGATGGAGAGTTCATTCAAATATTTAATATTCGATACCGGGTTCATCTAACAAAAGGCATGTGCTTCGCCTCTTGCCATTTTAACTACTGAACAAAGAAAACCTCTCAGTTTATATACCTTCTGTTACATGTTTCTTCAACAACATCTGTTAACCATCAGTGGGCACTCCCTTCTTTGATGTTATTACCTTGTACCCCAAGTCAGTATATCATGTCTATCAATCATTCTAAGATAAACCACCAGTAAGCTCCCTTGACATACTGGAATCCTGGGATATTCAGACACTGTGGCACCCAGAATCACTTATCTACTAAATGTAACCTGGTTCCCACCACACTATGAAATGACATCATAACAATCTTTCATTTTTTTCTCTTTGTGGTAAGTAACATTACTCAGATATTCAATTACTTAACCTCAACAATTCACATATAACTTCATATAAAATAAAATGTTCTCCAATCAGTAGCATAGATATATGATTAGAGTCTAAACTATGCTAGATAACTGAGAATTCATCCCTCTGTACCTTATACCTGAATCCAACCAGATTTTCAATATAATCAACAAAAGTATACATTCTCTATCACTTATCTCATGCACAATCACACCTCTCAAACCTCTAAGTAGTCAGTCTGAGTAAAAGATCAATACATGATTAACTAATATGTTCATGCTAAAAATCTATGTAGTCAAAACCTTACTGATATATAAGGAAAAAAGCCCACATAGACTATCCCTATTTCTTAAATGACAACCTTGTATACATAATTTTCAAATATACCCATCCTCTTAGACATGCTACCAAGAAAAACATACATAGAAATACATTCTTAACATCATGACATCATCCACACAAATACAATGATACATGACCCTTTCTAAGTTACATGGATATTATAATATATTCAAATGAATATATCCCAATAAAAATAACTATACCCCAAGCTTTTCTCTGGTCACTTGGGGTGCTATCTGATCAACTTTTTACATTTTAGCAGACACTCTTATCCAGAGCGACTTACAGTTAGTGAGTGCATATATTTTTTTTCATACTGGTCCCCCGTGGGAAACGAACCCACAACTCTGGCGTTGCAAACGCCATGCTCTACCAACTGAGCTACACGGGACAATCCTGTAAACCTTAAATTCCACGTTATACAGTTCCAACTTTAACATTCCCCATTACTCAATCAATGGACTCTACACTTGAATGGACTCTACACTTGAATAACATGATATAGATGAATAATTAGTACTCTTAATACCTTCCTGTATGTCTCTAATATTTCCCATAGCTTTATTTAAATTCCCAATACCTTCTTCATTCTGATGGTAAGTATGTACAACATGTATCCCCTATATAATCGCATACATTCCCCCTTTATCTACTATAATAGCATCCAATGCTATTATCAATTGCGTAGTGTCCAATAAGTGACATTTCAAACCCAATTGCTTGAAAACCCCTTACTGTTAACGTTTACATTTTAGTCATTTAGCAGACGCTCTTATCCAGAGCGACTTACATGAGCAATTAGGGTTAAGTGCCTTGCTCAAGGGCACATCGACAGATTTTTCACCTAGTCGGCTCGGGGATTAGAACCAGCGACCTTTCGGTTACTGGCACAACGCTCTTAACCACTAAGCTACCTGCCGCCCTGTTAAAAGGTACCATCTTCAATTCTGTTCAACCCTGACTCTGTTCTGATAATATGCCTGAGGAGAGATACACAGTATAACACTCTGGTTTCAGTCCCTGTTAAATCAGTACATCCCTGAACTACAGTGGGGAAAAAAAGTATTTAGTCAGCCACCAATTTTGCAAGTTCTCCCACTTAAAAAGATGAGAGAGGCCTGTAATTTTCATCATAGGTACACGTCAACTATGACAGACAAATTGAGAAAAAAAAATCCAGAAAATCCCATTGTAGGATTTTTAATGAATTTATTTGCAAATTATGGTGGAAAATAAGTATATGGTCACCTACAAACAAGCAAGATTTCTGGTTCTCACAGACCTGTAACTTCTTCTTTAAGAGGCTCCTCTGTCCTCCACTCGTTACCTGTATTAATGGCACCTGTTTGAACTTATTATCAGTATAAAAGACACCTGTCCACAACCTCAAACAGTCACACTCCAAACTTCACAATGGCCAAGACCAAAGAGCTGTCAAAGGACACCAAAAACAAAATTGTAGACCTGCACCAGGCTGGGAAGACTGAATCTGCAATAGGTAAGCAGCTTGGTTTGAAGAAATCAACTGTGGGAGCAATTATTAGGAAATGGAAGACATACAAGACCACTGATAATCTCCCTCGATCTGGGGCTCCACGCAAGATCTCACCCCGTGGGGTCAAAATTATCACAAGAACGGTTTAGCAAAAATCCCAGAACCACACGGGGGGACCTAGTGAATGACCTGCAGAGAGCTGGGACCAAAGTAACAAAGCCAACCATCAGTAACACACTACGCCGCCAGGGACTCAAATCCTGCAGTGCAAGACGTGTCCCCCTGCTTAAGCCAGTACATGTCCAGGCCCGTCTGAAGTGCATTTGGATGATCCAGAAGAGGATTGGGAGAATGTTATATGGTCAGATGAAACCAAAATAGAACTTTTTGGTAAAAATTCAACTCGTCATGTTTGGAGGACAAAGAATGCTGAGTTGCATCCAAAGAACACCATACCTACTGTGAAGCATGGGGTTGGAAACATCATGCTTTGGGGCTGTTTTTCTGCAAAGGGACCAGGACGACTGATCCGTGTAAAGGAAAGAATGAATGGGGCCATGTATCGTGAGATTTTGAGTGAAACCCTCCTTCCATCAGCAAGGGCATTGAAGATGAAACGTGGCTGGGTCATTCAGCATGACAATGATCCCAAACACACCGCCCGGGCAACGAAGGAGTGGCTAGGTAAGAAGCATTTCAAGGTCCTGGAGTGGCCTAGCCAGTCTCCAGATCTCAACCCCATAGAAAATCTTTGGAGGGAGTTGAAAGTCTGTGTTGCCCAGCGACAGCCCCAAAACATCACTGCTCTATAGGAGATCTGCATGGAGGAATGGGCCAAAATACCAGCAACAGTGTGTGAAAACCTTGTGAAGACTTACAGAAAACGTTTGACCTGTGTCATTGCCAACAAAGGGTATATAACAAAGTATTGAGAAACTTTTGTTATTGACCAAATACTTATTTTCCAAAATCATATGCCAATAAATTCATTAAAAATCCTACAATGTGATTTTCTGGATTTTTTTTTCTCATTTTGTCTGTCATAGTTGACGTGTACCTATGATGAAAATTACAGGCCTCTCTCATCTTTTTAAGTGGGAGAACTTGCACAATTGGTGGCTGACTAAATACTTTTTTCTCCCCACTGTATTTATGATTGAGGAATTCAACCAAAATCAGATCAGATGAAAATAGCATAAACATTCCTATGTCACAAATACCAAACCCCATGATAGGAACCAATATCTTTCTTGCCTAGCAACAAAGATATGTACCACTCTAAAGATTCACATCAATACCACCCAATACTTCAAATGTATATAGTGACTACTATGTTAATACGGTGACTTAATAATCAACATAATCATGATTTCAGTCACAATCCTCAAACAGTATGATTCATCAATGTCTACTCAAAATAAATCATATAAGTGTATCCTAAGACATTACCATAAAGTATCGCTGTTTTAACCATAATATCTATATAAGACAATTATCTCAATTGTACAAGCAATACCCTTCATGCTGAAAATATTTATACTAATATATACTAATGATTTACTTAAATCACTCAGTCATCTTATAAATTATAACCAAAACCAAATTACTTATCTCAACCCAAATTTAGAATGACAATTCTTAGTGATTCACATTGATCCTATCACTCAAAATTAAAACCCTCAACTTTTAGCACCCATTACAACTGAATGTACACTTATATTAACATACAGTATAAATATCCATAATTCTATTATGACCTTCCTCATTCTGAGAATAACTACAGATCATTATCTACATTTACGTCATTTAGCAGACACTCTTATCCAGAGCAATTAGGGTTAAATGCCTTGCTCAAGGGCACATCAACAGATTTTTCACCTAGTCGGCTTGGGGATTAGACCTTTCGGTTACTGGCACAACGCTCTTAACCACTAAGCTACCTGCCGCCCTACTATTAATTTAGCAGTGTATATAACTCCTACCCAAATTAGCAAATTTAGATAAATCCACATTTATTATCAACACAGCTAAGCAACCCCTTTTTTCTCCGGCACTTAAATCTTCTGGCGTCTCTTCATTATGTTCTTCAGACAGCTTCATATTTCAAAATGAATTGTCCATGACAATGTCACAACTACAATGTCTCATCCGAGTCACCACCTTCCCTACAACCTCATTGTGTCTTGTCCATTTGCCAACCAGTATACCACCAACATGAGAAATGTTGCCTTTGAACATATCTTTCTCCATTCTCACTCAATGGTGGACTCTTGTCCCACTCCCTAGAGATAAAATAATGAGAGAAAATCCTTTGATAGATTCGATTGGCTGTTGTACACCGGTTGCATGTAGAAGTGGTACTTTACAGGAACGTCTTCAATGCCTCTGATATTCATCTTCAGCCGGTTCAGAGATTGTTTCTTTTTAAGGTTCACACCATTCTATGCCAAATTATCCCTGCTATGCATCAAGACACCATCTGTATTTACCTCAATAGAAGACAAAACATAACAGTTTAGTTGAGTTCATTTCTAATCCAAGAAATCCATATAAGCATTGACTATATAACAAATTACTATGTTTTACCAATTATTCTCAATACCAATTTCTAATATACTCCACAA